CCGAACTACATATGGTGAGCCGAGAGGCTGGACATTATGCGTTCCATGGTCTTGTCTTTTTCCGTATTCATTTCGTTCACCAAAAGTTCTTGACTCATCAAGGTATCAAATTTTCCTCTGCGGAAATATTGGATAGACACCGTCACATAACAACCTTGCGGCTGTTCTGTAGTTTGAACTACCCGTAAACCAGTATCATAGTGCCATCATCTAGCATGGAAACTCGCTGCACAAACTAATCTAGCAGCAAGGGATAGTACATGAGGGATATCCCACAACCATAGCTTTGTTCCAACTCAATGTCCTCACCATCCTCGAACGCCAGCTTGTTTCCCAAGTGCAAACCTTGGAGGACCTCGGAGACTTCCTTGGAGTCCAAGGAGAGGAAGAAGGAAAAGGTGGATGAAACAAACACATGTGTGCTAGGTATGCTGGATGAATCATAATCCGCAGTCGATCCTTTTCTTGTTCGCTATTTTGAAGTTCAGTCCAGAAGTCTGCGTTGTTAGAGAGAATTTTGCAAAATCCATTCATGCTCCTTTATGCTATTGTCAGGATCCTAGGGGGAGGAACTGATGGTGCAATAAACCCATTAAGATCAAAACTAGGCCCATTGCGATTAAATTATTGATCAAAACTATTACGATTGAATTAGGCCATTACGATTAAAATATTAAGATCATAATAAAATTATTGATCAAAACTTAATTTGATTTGATTTACCTGAGGATGTCAAAGATCGAAGTTCTCCCATCTTTTTCAACAGTACAAGGAAACGATTAGCACTGAACCCTCGCACTTCCGGTTGAAATTGTGGTATCCTCTCGCAGTTGTATTTTGTTCTTTCAACCCAGATGATTTCAGTTTTTCCTCTTCCCAGGCTTTTTCGCGAGCAATCCAGAAGGGAGTCTTCGAGCGTTATCTTCGGGATTAGCTATGCTAACATCAGCTACAGCTATTCGACCGTCTTCTAACATAAATCGCACTCCATCCTCTCAATCTTCAGTTTGAAGAACAGTCCATAAAATAGTCTCCGTAATGTTAGAGAAGAACTTGCAGTTTTCGTCATTACATCATAAATCTAAAATATTATGAGAAGAAGAGAAAGAATGAAAGACAAAGTAGTTTTTGTACTTTTCTTGTGCTGATGTTTAATACTTTGTTTTGTGTTTTTCCGATGCAATATAAAACATATTATCATTTTGAGGTGTAAGTAAATATTGGCTAGAGAAGCTGTAAAATCGAACTTGAGAATATTCTTAAGGTATTGGAGTTGATGTATCAAAATCCAAGAAACATAGCTTTAAACCTTTGTATTTATAATAAATAAAGTCATTGATATATTGTAATTTACCACAAAATCTCATGCTCTAACTATTTAAATTTATTTGATATCTACTTTATTTTTTTTCTATCTCATGCTTTATAATCTAAGTGGAATAATTTTGAACCTTTATCTCATTTTACAGGATAATCACACATGGATAATAGGATACTATTGGCTATAGATATTATAGATGCACTTGAGGCTAATACTATTCATATATAAGCACTCGAATTTATCTGTTCCATGAGCTTAGATAATTCTTTTTCCTTGTGTGTTAAAGTTGATTAGTCACTAGGGTGTCCAAGTTTTCATTGTGGCGATATTGGAAAGACACTATCACATAGCAACCTGACGTTTCTTAACCTTACTTAACTTACTAACCATGAGAATCTCGTGTGGTCCTCGTAATCATCATGCAGCTTGCTATTTTCACGTGATAATCTCGTGTGGTCCTCGAAATCGAACCATTAAAACATAGTAGTATTATCCTAGTGTCACGTGATAATAACTTCCGCTCTTGTGTTCCCGTCAGGCGTCACCTTCCTGGAAAGAGATGAGCCAAAAAACTTCCTGGAAAGATGACTACATAACTACAAATAGTATACAAAATCATGGAAACTTGCGAGATAGGAATTCCTATATTGTTTGCGAAATGCAATTAGTGATTTATGGATTTTAACAAAACTAGTAAGCTTCCTAAAGATATAAACCATGATCACAACTCCACTTACAAACTCAATCTTTAGAATACATGTACTCTTTTATGGGTTCATTTAATACCTTTTACTAAACTGACCACATATGAAAAGGAAATCAACAAAACCGGCTCATGTGAAAGAAAAAAAAAAACACTCTATTCCTTGCTTCATGTAATTCAGTTGAAACTTGAAAGCCATAAATCGTAATTTCGGAATTTTCGTTAAATGTATATAAAGTCAGGGGTCAAACATATGTAAGATAAATAAATAGGGGGTCAGAATGAGAACAAATAACAAATTTGGGTCAAAAGTCAAAAGTCAAAACTCAAGAAGGTTTTTTTATATAATGTATGTACTTCTCTACTTCCTTCACCTCTCTGCTTACTTCGGCGAACAAATTCTCAGATTTTCCTTCTCCTTCAAAGCTCATACCGATTTCTCTCTCACTCTCGTTAACAACACGGAAGCTTCCTCTGGTAATCTTTCTTCTGCTCTGATTTCAAATTTTCCTTTTTTTCTCTCGATCTTTGGGTT